GGTTGTACTCTTATGAAGAGGGAAAGCTGGATGGGAGATTGTTTTCTGTGTTAGTTATTTAGTCAACTGGACTACAATACCTCTAGAACCACCTTGGACCAGGTCCAGATCCCACTTACATACTCTTCTGTCAACTGACCACACAGAGGGTAACCACAGGGTTATACACTTCCTAGACAAATGACCAAGATATAACCTGACACATTCAGAATGCTTTATCTTCAGACTACAACCACCCCACACCATGTCGCAATTGGATGAAGTTTTCAGATGTTGTGCTGACATTACCATGAACATGCTGTGGCTTGGTTCATGTAACTTACACATTGGGATTTTTTATTAGAAAATCTTTAAGGTCCTTTAAAGCTGAGGGATCCTGTGTTTCTAATTAGACCCAATGGATTGCACCTACAAGGAGATGGTAATTTCCTGGAAGGAAGAGTTTGAGTCCAAGGACAGAATGGGCTGAATTAAAGGGTCAAACAGTCACTTCCCAAGGATGCTTCAGAGGTAATTCAAGCCTTGTATAGAAGAGTGTGGTGTGAACAAATTGAGTTTAAAATTCTTCCCAATCTCTGTGACCTTAGGGACTGATTTGGAGCAAACCAAGGATGCAACGTCAGGTAGGCCAATCTCCCTGATGAACATAGAGGCATATATCATAAATAAAAAAATGCTAGCAAACCAAATCCAACAGCACAGTAAAAGGACCATTCACCATGAATGGGAAGCAAGGGTGGTTTGACATATGCAATTCAAATATGTGGTTCACCATATTAGCAACATGAAGAACATGCACATTATAACATTATAATCTCAATAAATGCAGAAAAAGCATTTGAAAAATTCTTTCCTGATAAAAACGCTTAACAGATTAGATATAGAAGGAATGTTCTTCAACACAATAAAGACTGTATATGACAAATCCATAGTTAATATCATACTCAGTAGTAAAAATTGAAAGCTTTTCCCTTAAGATCAATAAGAAGACAAGGATACCCATTCTCGCTACTTTTAAATGTACTGCTGGAAGTCCTAGCCTATTTCATCGTCATAAGCTTCATTTTCATCAACATAGAATGGGACATATAATAATCCATGTTATACTTTCTATAAGATTATTATTAACCTCTGTAAAATAAGCAAATAGGAGGGATAATTATTATAAAGAACTCCAATAACATCAGGTATATATTTAGGGAAGTAGAATAAATAAGAAAAAAGTAATAGCAAACCATTATCATTTCAGGAAGTGATAATTTAGATAGAAGAGTGTTGGAAGTAACCTTAAGACATTGTTATCTCTATACCCTTACTCTGTCCCTAATCCAAACTATACATTTTAGTCCTGCTCCTGTTTTAGGACCTCCAGAAAAAGACATTCCTTCCATATCCTTCTTTTTAATCCTCAACCACTTTTGTCACTCTTAACTGTCTATTCAAACATTAAATACATTATTATTTTTCAAAAGAAACAAATGTGTATGTGTTTGTATGTTTTAGTGTGTTGCATGCTGTATGTTATCACACTTATAAGCACATAGAGATAATTCAGAACACAATACCTGGGCACTCACATGTGTATGAATACACGTGTGTGCATAAGCATGTTGTTTTATTGATGCTGCATGTGGCTCACAGCCTCTGTGCCTCTCTAAAGCTCTATCGAGCATCTTGATTTTTGGAGGGCTTTAGAAAACAAAGAAAAAAGACCAAATGACTCATATGAACGAGTGATCTGTACCCCCATGTTCACTGCAGCTCAATTCACAATAGCTAAGATATGGAATCAACCCAGATGTCCATCAACTGTTGACTGGATAAAGAAATTATGACATATATGCACTGTGGAGTAGTATTCGGCTGTAAAAAGAAATGAAATCCTGTGTTTTGCGACAAAATGTATGCAACTGAAAACCATTATACTAAGTGAAATAAGCCAGTCCCAAAAAGAGAGATATCATATGTTTTCCCTGATCCAAAGTAACTAATAGAGTACCTGAAATATAACGTATTGAAGTGAAATGAACATTTTGAGATTCGATTATTGTTTTCAGCCCTTATCTCTTCTGTTTAGGAACAGTGTTTTTTCCTTCATACTGTTTATTTAACTCTTTACTTAGTGTAGGTAAACTGAAAATAGATATTTTAGATCTTTGTAAAAATTAAGAGTGGGAGTAGGGGAGGGAGGAGGAAGAGGGATTGAAACATGGATGAGAGGGAGGGTAGGGTGGGAAGTATTACTATGTTCCTAAATCTGTATATATGAAATACACAAAACTTGTATAACAAATAAAATTAACAAAAAGAAAGAGGTAACATTACAGTAAGTTTTCTAAAAGGCCAGAGTAAAGAGACAAGAGACCATAATGTTGGATCATTTCTTGTTTACCAGCAACAAGTAACTCCTTTGTACAAAGCAGTCTTCAAATATATTCCAGATGTAACTCAGCTATCCTTCAAGAAGCCTAGAACTGGAAAAGATTTTAATGCCTTTTAAGTCCAGCCTCTCACCTGATCAATGGGACCCAGAGAGAGAAAAGCATCTGTTCAAATTCATATACCGCATTAGTGGTGAGACTGAACAAGAATAGAGATCTGATTTCTGGGCCAGTGCTCTTTCTCTTATCTGGACCTTTGATTCTTTTCTTCAGTAGAAAATTTCCTCTGTAATCTCAACAGCTGTTATAGTCCCTGGCATATAATACATGATTGGTAAATCTTAAATTAATGTACAGTGGCATGTGTCATGGTGGACTTTGCACTTACTTCTGAGTAAATCATTAAATATATCTGTGTTTTAGGTCATCTTGTTTTAGGCCAAGAGGCCCCCGGGAAACTATCTGAGTTGCAATAAAAAAAAAAAAACAACTATTTCTTGCTTTATCCACTGCAATTTCCCTTAATCACAAGATGATCCTTTTTTTCAGAAATGCAATCTAGAACCCCTCTGGGAGCCTCGTTCCACTGACTGGATAGCCATTTCTTGGCAAACTAGGGTCCAGGAATTAATATTTTCTTGTGGAAGATGAACGATTTCTCAAAGAAGTCAAGTACTTCTAACTGCAGCTTATTGCAGTAGTCAGTGTGATGAGCTGGCCTTGTAGCAGACACCCAAAGGCTGAATTGGTACACATTGCAGTCCTCAGTTTGCAACAGGAAAGAAGCTATTAACAAATTATGTGTTCTCTTTATACAAATAACATCCTGCAGTATGGTTGAAAGAGTACTGGCCTAGAGGCCTTAGGTTTTTCATCTGTTAAATGAAGGAGATAATAGTACCTATCTCAAAGCACCGCTGAGATGATTCATTTGAATAGCATATGTAAAAACCCCAACACAGTCTTGGTTCCTATTAGGTGCCCAATAAATGGTAGTTTTCTTCCTTCAGAGACCTCTAATTCAGTGTATGCCTTCATTCTTGAGGCAAGTCACTTCCCCAGATCCCATCCTTGGAAGGAAGAATTGTATTGCTGTGATTTTTAATAGTTCTTTTGAGTCATCATTTTTGGGTTCTTTGACAAAAGGATGAAGGAAGGATAAAAGGGGAAAAAAGAAATTAAAAAAGAATAATACTAAAGGTAAAGAAGGCAAAAAACAATCCTTTGTATAATAAGGCTAACCCCATGTTCTTGCAGGTAGCCCTTAAAAGCAATGCTTTACTGACCTGGTCAATACTGAGTCTTCTACATAAAATTACTACTAAACTGAGAGGAATTTCTGCACCTGGTGTGCATATTCTAGGCCTGGTGAAGGGAGAGGAAAACTGAGCAGTAGCTAAATTTATGTTGGATAGTTGTTGCTTTTCCTATTATCAAGTACTAATCATCTTTTGTTTTTCCTCCTTTCTCTCATCACAAACGTTCCTCCTCTGCCAAAAGAAGTTTCCTGAAAACCAGAGCCTGTTCATTAAGTTAGAAGGATGGCAGTAAATATGAGGAAGAAGTATCAGGGGCTTGAAGAACCAAAGAGTGGAGTGCAGGGGTGCACGTGGGCAGGCTGCAGCAGGGATCTGAGCATGAGGAGTTCCGCATGTTTCAGAGCAGCTGGGGATTTCTCTTTGTCTGTTTATGCTTGTGACTCTGTGTGCCTTCACATCTCTTGCCATGTTTACTGGGGGTTCTAGTGTGTGCCAGGCTTGCAGTGGGAACAAAACAGCAAAGTATTGAGTGAAATTTGTGGTTTGGGTAGATCTCCACATCATTGAGCCGCTGTGATCAAATATGAGGATCTTTGGATTTGAGTGTCTCTCTCTCTCTCTCTCTCTCTCTCTCTCTCTCTCTGTGTGTGTGTGTGTGTGTGTGTGTGTTTCTGTGTATATGCATACCTATAGCCATCATATGAGTGTTCTTTATTCCTTTATTCCTCTACTGGCTTCAGAGGACTCCATTTTACTTTCGGTGTTTCACCATGCAAAGAGTGGGTTTTATCTCTGATTTTTATTACCTGCAAGATTGGAGATGTAGTCATTCCACCTGGAACTGAAAACTAGTTAGAAATCCCATGGAGCTGTCTTTTATAAAAGTTTTGCCTGTACTTGTGTCTTGAAAAATAAACATCTTACTAGCCTGAGTACAATCCTATGCATGCTTACAGGTGTCAGAGGGAGGCAACGTTGATTTAGCATAGCCTCTGCTGTGCCATGTTGAAAGAGTAACAATTTCCACAATTGATCATTTTCTTCTAGATATTTCTGGCATTTGGTAAAGGTAAAGCATCTTTTTTCCCCCAAAACCATTGAGTAGTCCTAATAATGGAGGTATCAGCAGGATCTGAATTGTTTAGCCCTTCAGAGAATGCCAATGAAAAGCAAACAATATGAGTACAGCGCTGAATTCAATATAAATTCCATGTGATCAGACTATTTTGGGACCTTTTCTGTCCACATCTCTCATCTAGTAGGATATGTCTTCAGGTCTTTTCTGTGTAGAAATACTCAAAGTGAGATGGCCCTGGAAGTGCATTAACATGTCTGTTTTCTGTCGTGTTTGTTTTCCCAGGGAAACAGAAGTACCTGTGTGCCAGCAGAAATGATTGCACCATTGACAAATTCCGAAGGAAAAATTGTCCTTCTTGCCGTCTCCGGAAATGCTACGAAGCAGGAATGACTCTGGGAGGTATGATACTTTCATTCCTCTGTCTCCTCCTTCTTCTCCCTTCCTTGCTCTCTGTCTCTCTTTCAGCCAAATTTTCCTCTTTGATGCTTCCAAGGAGACCAGCTGTGCTGTAGATGCATGTTGATCCTTTCATAGCCAAAGTGGCCATCAGCTAGTTGGTATCTTGTCTTTCTTTTTAAACAATGCCACTGTGTCTTCTGATTTTCACCATATGAACAGGAAGCAACAATTGGGGATCAAGGACCAACAGAGGATGTATGAGTGTGGACTTGATGAGGAAGAGTTCCTCAGGGAACATAAGGATACTGACCAGTGTGGTTCAGTGTTAGTTAGGATGAGGGAACTAAGAAATCAAGATCAGCCACAAGAGCAGGATGACCCAAGCACAGGCTGGCCCTGAATGCCCAGGAATATCCTTCAGCTAACTGATGCCCATGTTGTAGGACTGGCCACCTGGAATGGCAAGCTGCTGCTCTTTGGAGACTGTGACTAGGTTGCCAAACACAGCCAATTTCCTTTCCTACATTTACTAGGAATGAGCAGGCCTTTTAATCATTTCCTTTTCTTTGAAAACCCATTGATGGTTTCCAAAAGCATTTTCAGTAGTACAGAAGCTTGATAGAAGGAAGATACAGCTTTTTTAAGGTCATACCCTCTATCTTAAGGATCTCGGTCCCCTGAGCCTGTGTCTCACCATGACTGCTGTCACCATTCCAGAAAGGCTTGACATCAGTTGAGTGACAAATATTTCCCCCTCCAATTTCCTCATTTATTCATGTTTATATCTGCCCAATGCCAGGGTCCTCCCTGCTGCCTGCTGCTTCTAAAAGGTGCATCTTTCATGAGAAAAGCAAGCTCATTAGTCTACTTTCATTTATGAATAGGACCCGAAGAAAGGAAAGCCTATTTTTCAGTGCCCAAAACTGTAGCCACATACCTGATTATTCATTATCAGCTTTTAACACCCACATGCCTGGAATCTGACCCTCTTACCTCTGTTCTCAAGGGTAATTTACAGCAGTTGTGTCCAGCTTTCTGTGAGGTAGTCAATACTTTGTCTGCCTTTGTGCACATCTATAGATAGCAGCTACTTTCCTAACCCTGGCCTGGGCCATGTGTGAGACTTTGTATAATTATACCCTCCCCTCCATATAGGTCAGTCATATTTAAGCAGGCCAAAGTACTGCACATGTGTTGACCCAGGCTCCACCTGAGGTAGTATCAACAGAAGCATCTCGAATAACATCTAGTACTCTCAGACTTCACAGGCAGGTTCTCTAAGTGGCTTTCTAGGCAGCATTATCAAATGAGAGTCAAATATCTGAGGAAGCCTAACCTTGTTTTTCTTTACTTGGTGTACTCCAAGGAAGCCCTGTAATTGTGGTCTGCAGTGGAGGGAAAGAGGCAGTACTGGGGTGAGGGGATGTAGAGAGAAATCCAGGAAGGGTGTAATTGACAAGAGGAAATGTTTGCTCAAATGAATATTGTAATCCCAGAATGAGGGTTCTGATGCATAGAACTGTGTATTATTTAGCCTTCTCTGAATTAAATGGAAAGTATAGGAATTCCCAGGTGAAGAACTCCTTGGCTTGCCATCTGCTTATTTGAATTGCAAATGTACATTGATGAAGGTAAAGTTTAGTGATAACAGAAATTCTCATAAATATGTGAATATAAATCTTAAAATTAGTTCCATGTCTTGTTGAATATCCTGTGTTATATAGCAGCCTGTGAAATTATTTCAGTGAACATCTTTTGAAAAGGAGCCTGTGTATAATAGATAATTTCACTATGCCATATAGCAGTCAGACAAAACTTTGTAAATTGATTCATTGCACAGAGAAATACAATAATTTTTCAGGTTGATTTATTAGCTAGAGTGCTCCAATCTGAGTGGACTTAGTCAACACAATGAAGACAAACTGAGAAGTGTTGTGGCTGGCTTTCTTTTCAGTTCTATTCACGTGGTATTACTGAGTGTCAATTGTAGACAGGATACTGTGTTAAGTATTAAAGCCTGCAGCTGCCCAAAAGATACAAGGATTCTTGATATTGTCTAACTGGCCTTGCCTTTGCAATCAGGCATACTTGGGTGAAAGGCCCATTTCCATTCTTTGTTATGTCCCTCCTCTGAGCCTCAACTTCTTCATCTGTACTTCAGAAATTCTGCCCTTACAGCCTTATAATGATGATCAGATGACATAGTGAGTGTGAGCATCCCTGCTAAATGACAAAGTACTAGTCAAATCTGGAAGTTTAGTATGACAGTGAGGTCACTACTAACTTCACTGGCAAGGGTCTCACATAGACATTTTGATCACCTCAAAGGAGAATTCATATAATTTTGTTTTCTTTTCTCCATCACTCAAATCAAAATTACATAATACATTAGAAAATGGCAACTAAGAATGTGGCCTTTGGCAAGTTTCTTCCTGCCTGTGAGGTTTAGTTTTCCCATCGTAAAAGGTGGCGAGTTTCAGCAAGGACTTTCTGGCACTGATCTGATAGCTATAGCCACTTAGAAAGGATTACAAATTTATCAGCCCTTTCTTGGATTGTTTTTGCCCTGCTCCCCAACGTATAGATAGTCAAAATGTGGGTGCTTTTTTGCACAGTAATTTTAGCTACCTCCATTCACACCTGCAGAAGACATAATATGTGTCAAAAAGTAGACTGGATGGAGATTATTAAGGGGATGGAGGGCGAAAAGGTTTCTGTGTGTGAGTGAAGGGTTGTCTGGCACTGTACAGTTGATGGCTGCTTGTTCTTGAGGCCTCAAGATCTCTAATCCAGCTTTCTCTATTTTGTTCCATTAACTGTTTGGTGGTGGAATCTTCCAACTCAGAGGTGTATATGGCCTTTTCCTTCCTGCTTCCAGGCCTACTTCCCTGTTGCTTTGATTCTTAGCAGCTCTTGATATTTCTGAAAGGATTGTAGAGGTGATTGGATTCTCAGAATGATTCCCTTAAAGGCCTCTTCCAGGTTCACAACTGCCCATCTACAGAAAAGATAAATCTTTCTTTGTGGAACATTAATTTCTGGCTGCTTTTGAAAAGTGCATATTGCTAATTACTTCAAGAATTTAAACACTTTCCTACTTTTCATCTAAAAAAACACTTATAAATATAACTGTTCAGCTAAAAACCTTCCTTCCAGTGAATTAGCTGAGGTTTTTTTCACAGCACATAATTAGGGCGAATGCACAACTCCATGTCACACTTTTCTCTGCCCCTCCCAAGGATATACTCTCAGTTTCTAAGATGGAACAAGAAAGAAAAAATTACTTTTGCTGCCCTCTCTCCCTTTAGCTTTCCCTTCTTCCCACTATCCCTACTGCTTCTCTGAAAACAGCATTTCTTTTTGTGTTTTCCAACTCTTGAATTCTCAGCTTTCAGTAATTGGTATTAGCCTCTGTTTACCCCTTCCTCTCCAGGCCCATGGAAGTTTATAGGCCTTTTAGGAATTTTAGGTGGCAGCCAAATCCCAGAAGAGGAGCAGGAACACAGAGCCCCCAGAATATGTGAAAATCTGAGACATACACCATGTCTTTCAAATGTTTTTCTAGCATATGTGAGAAATCTCCTAGGAGACTGAACTCTGCACATAAGAATGAAAGCTTAAGAGATCTGCAGATTTTAAACAAGTTCTATGAATTCTTCAGCTGGGAGAATGGTTCAGAGAGCCTCTGGCCATGTTCTGATGCCATCATGGACTCTCTGAACTTCCTTGAAGTTTCCAGTGCTCCATACTTAAGAGAAGTCTAGTATTTCCCCTATCCAGATCACACATCCTTGATGCAAGAGAATAATTCCAATCCTGAAATACCACTCATGCCATGGTTCTTCACAGCGTTTATTCATACATATAACTGTTCATCCATCCTTCCAGCCAGCCAAGAAAACAGGGTTTTCATCTTTCCATCTACTCATTCATCTATTCATTCATGGAGAAAATATTTGTTTAACTCCAAGTATGTGCCAGAAACTGTGTTAGACATTTTGGAGAAGGAGAATAAAATATGATTGCTACCCTCAAAGTTCAACAGGAGGATACAGACAGTGAAAATGAATACAGCTTAGTTTTAAAGGACAGTTGGAAATTATTGAGAAGTTTAGTGAGATGGAAGGGAAAGGCATTCAAGGAAAAGAGCACAGTTGGAATAAAGTCACAGAGACATGAACAGAATATATTAAGGGTTTATTGAGAAACAGCAAGTGGTTTAATATGGCCTGTGCTAGGGAAATGCAGAAGGCAAACTGAAGCTACATCAACAATGAACTTTCTTCTGATGCTAAGTTTGGATTTTGAGAAGTTGAAGTTCATTTTGCTTACTTGCATGTTTATTTTTTGAGATGATTGGTAGCAGCATGAATGTTGCATTGTTGAGCACTTATATTTAAGAAAGGGAGATAATAATATGCATAGAAATTTCTAGCATCAAATTTTCCTAAACACCTAGGATTCATTCTGGGGCTAGTTACTGGTTTGATAACTGCAAGTATTGACAACATACATGAGGAAACACTGGCCTAGACTAGAACAACTGGCTTAAATAAGGGGCTTACTGGTATGCCAAAAGCCATTTGCGCTGGTCTAGGCCATCGTTTCCCAGTGTGGATTCTGAGAAAACTAGTGCTATGACATGCTCTGTGAAAAAATTATTTGTATGGCCAAATAAGTGAGGGTAACCTGTGAATTATGGCTCCGCTTGGAATACTTGGAGAAATTCCTAATGCATGTTAGCATATCACAGGTCCCAGCAAGGATTGCACTAAAGTAACCTGAGGAGCTTTATAACTTTACAACTCAGGATTCTCAAATTTACTGCAACCCCAGAACACCCTTTTGCACATAACACCTGTTAACAACCTAAAAACCCACTGTTCTCTGGAATACACATTAGAAAACTTGGATATAATTAGACTGTATCCTGTAGACAGACAACACTAGCCCAGGTCATCCATTTTACAGACAAGTGACATCTCTCAGTGGGAGAATAA